GGGGGGTTAGTTTAGTTTCTTACTCAAGGGTAAAAACACTTGAATGAGACACTAAACTAACTCCCCTTCGGGACTAACCAAGGTTGGTTGCGTTTTACAAACTTGACCAACCCCCCCTAGGAGCTCCGAAAGGAGCGCCCTGCTCTAGTAAGAAAAAAGCCGTAAAGATCGAAAAACATTTTTTGAGTAAACAGAAACAATGTTCCCTGCAGTTATTACTTGTGCAACAATGCAGAACAATGACAGCATAATTTCCAGAGATGTACAAAAACTTCGGAAAACAAGAAACTATAAATATAATTGCAGAAATAAAAAAAATGGTGTGATAACGATGAATCAAAACAAAAAATTAAAAGGTCAACAGCCGATTTTTTTCAGGGAAACAAAGAAATATATAGTACAGCTAGAAAGTCAAGGGCTGGGGGCTGCCTCCGTCTTTACAATCTTCCTTAGTCAGTACAATGAAATGGGTTTAAACATTGCAGCCAAGTGTGGAGCGATCGGTTTACAGGCTCATCAGTGGTAACTACGGCTACTCGCATTTCTGTTCTAGTAAAGGAACTAACCCACAGTACGACAAAATAATCACCTGAAACTAAAACGGTAACAAAAACGTGGAAGATGTCAACTGCTCCTGCAAGGACTAAAATTTGTATTAAAATATCTGAGAGTATGTATGACCAGGATGTGACGGTGCGTGGAGCCATGTCAACGGAACGGGGAATCGCGACATGACGGACACGATACCCAAGAGTAAATAAATGTTTTATGGGCGAAACCTAGTGCGTAAGCACACGCGTAATCACGGCACATTCTGGGAAAATATGTAGATAAAGGTCTCACGAGACGACGGAAATTGGCGAGGAGATTGTTCGGGGCGAAATTGCATAGTTACAAACAGGGCTGTGGAGTCGGAGTCGGTAAAAATGTACCGACTCCGACCTCGATAAAAAATCTTAAGAAAATATCGTGTGACGGGCCTCACGCTATAGGGAGATTCAACGACGCGTTGAGCCACGTGGTGTGGAAATAATGTTTTGTAACTTTGGCTCCGGTACGTTAAGAATACAAACTGTCTACAAATCAACCGATTTCTGCAATAACCATTAGACTTAAGTAACTCTAAAAAGTAGCCTGATCATTCACGTGGTGATGATGAAATCTCTTAAGGTTCCATTTACCATTATTAATACATATTGAGCTTTTATGAAGGAGTCGGAGGTTTTAGTATCGACTCCACAGACCCGGTTACATCTTCAGCCGCTAGATCATTCTCGAGAGCGCTAGGACAGCTGACTATTGCACTATCTTGAGCCGAAAATGTTCCAATTTGATTACTGACAGGCCTGAGAAAGTGAAGGAACCATATTTGATCACAAAATCCCGGTGCGATTCCGCCCACATCAGTGTCCACCTAATCGTCAAATAATAAGGGAGGTTGTTCAAAACTGGATAAGGGACCACAAAGCATATCAACACGGCAGCAAAACTTCCTGACACCGAAACACCATAACGGGTTCAGACTGGTTTGGTCATAAAAAGGGTTGTCTTTGACAGAACTGCCCACGCGGTCGTCAGAGTACTCCTTGTCGTGCTTGAAAGCCGGGCAGTACCTCTTCTCAAATCCAGTCTTCCACAAAGAAAAGGAGGGTGACCGCATTCTGCAAATCTGCGTCTTCAATTTGTTGGACCCCCAGCGTCAATGGCTAGGGTGCACAGGGCTGCAGTTCCAAAGGAAAAGAGTTGATTTTCATTTTGTATTTTCGGTTTTTTTGAATTATTTGAAGAGTTCGAGTATTTTACGTCTTCTTTGCACGAAATGCATGAGAACGCATTATGGGTTCGTCGATCCCGTGTGGCCGACGATACGACCCAACTCGAGACCGACTGGCGACCACTTGACGGACTGAGACGGCATCTGATACGCAGGTTGTGCCACTCGGGACTGGGTTAAAATCGTATTCTTTAAAATTCTAAGATCAGTCATTCTAAAGGTCATTGGCGATGGTGTATTTTAACAGTTTTGGATCTTCTGAGGCTGCATGAATTCCTCCGCCATACCAACAGTCTCAGGCCCTCTGTCTCTTCTAGATGTATTATTAATCACCAAAAAAGGGACTACTTTGTCAACTCAGGTCTACAGGAAACACACACACTGGGCGCTACCCCCACTTTGACTCCAACCACTCATCCCATACAAAGAGGGGAGCTGTCCACTGCTTTCTGCATAGAGTATCATTTTCCAAGAACGCAAAGCATTTATCACGAGACATAACATTTTAGACATGAATTGGCACTCAACGGGTATCCCTCATCCTTAGTTCATTCCGTCATTAACAGACCTGCGGCAAACAGAGACAACTCCACACGTCAAGGGAGTGTCCGGTAAGGTTCAGACGACGCACTGGGAATAAATATAAAATTAGGACCGCATTCAAGGCCACCACACCCTGAGACACGCTCTTGTAAAAACCAGGCCTGAGAGAGAGATATTCTTGATACCAGATGCCGTGTTTATGCAGGAAACCGTGAGAATGCGGAGAAACAGGCACACCGCTGAGAGAACGCATCAGAGGACGCCGACGTAATCTCAGGCAGGGGTTGGTAGAAAAATCCAAGCTAGCACATGTTTAGGAAGAAGTGCATCCGATTAATTGAAAGAAGCCAGGAGTTCAATTAATTTGGAGAAATTACAACAACAAATCGGTCCATATGGCAGAGCTGCGGATAGGATGAAGCAGAGATGTTGCTAACACACCGAACACTTTAAAATGTGGAAAATATGGCGTGCTTACGGCATTGGACCGCGGCGTGTTCGGCAGTCACGATCTTGCAATTCATCCTGAGGAAGATGACGCAAATTCTGGACAAACTATTTACTGAAGCAAGCAGCAGCACCTACCACCGAACAGAGAAGGCCTAGCGATTTCGAATTATGCGATGCCAGTGCTTCAAATGGACCTGCAGTCATCTTCTGCTTCCCCCATAATTTTCTGATGAGTCAGTAGCATTCAGTTCAAACACACCGACGGTTTCGTCAAATTGGCTAGTTCTTGCTGCAAATATTAGCACCAAACCCACGGTCAAGACAGAGAAAATGGCAAGAAAACCGTCGATTTCTTCATCATCA